TAGGTGGCAGCTTATGAGCAAGAGGAGAACAAAGATCTGGCTAGTTCAGCCCTAAAGTCCTAAGCTGTCCATAGGGCAGCTCTTTCAAGCTCAGTTATTATTATTTTTTTTTTTAAAGGCTCAGTACTTCTGAGCCAGAATCTTGCCCTTGGGAAAGGTTGGGCAATTACACAAAATTATCTGCTGCAATGTCCTACCAGTCAAGGACTACTTCAGCTTCAACCGCAACAATACAAGAGCACACAACGGATACAAACTCAAGGTAAAACGCTCCAAACTCGATTGCAGAAAGGACGACTTCAGCAACAGAGCGGTCAATGCCTAGAATGCACTACCTGACTCTGTTGTTACATTCTCTAACCCCCCCACTCCTTTAACCTTAAACTATCCACTATTGACGCAGGGGTGGGATTCAAATTTCTTGACAAACTGATTCTGTGGGCGTGCCCTAATTTGTGGGTGTGGCTCGGTGGTCATGTGACTGGGTAGGCGTGGCTTGTATGTAAATATTGTAAATATTTATGTAAATATTGATTTTTTTTAATTAAAAAAAGAGCAACTTTTATCCAAAATCAGGCAAAGCAGATTGAGCTGCTTGCAGAATCACAGCTTCACTCCCAGATCTACCTTTCTGCCATCTGCTGCTTGAGTCTACACTGGAAAAATAGAAGCTTCAGTCCTAAGGAAGGTTCAGCTCTGCTCTCAGGCCACTTCTCCTGCCCCCAACCCCCTGAATAACATCCTTGACCGGGCCTCAGGGAAGCCGATTTGATGGCTTATTGTATCCTATGACTATTATTAAGTGTTGTACCTGATGATTTTTGACTCTTGACAAATGTATTTTTTCTTTTATGTACACTGAGAGCATTTGCACCAAAGACAAATTCCTTGTGTGTCCAATCACACTTGGCCAATAAAGAATTCTCTCCTCTCCTCTCCTCTCCTCTCCTCTCCTCTCCTCTCCTAGTTTGGCAATGAAATCTCTGCAAGAAAACATCCAAGCTCTGTTTTCTGTTAGCTGGGCTTCAGCCTTCTCTCCTGCAGAAGACTTTCTGTCCTTTGGAAGTTTCTTTTCAGCTGTATTGTGTCCCGAGCTTTCTTCCATTTTCTTCCCTACTGCCAAAGCTCTTAACAATCTGATAATCCCTGTGAATGACTTTGGATAAAAAGGGGTTCTTTTTTTTTTTAATGTGGTCTAATTAATTTACAGCATTCCTTGGTGAAGGCCACTGGCTTAGGCAGTTTTAGGAAAGGATTAGTTGAAGGTACGGTGGATAAGTTTGATATTAGGGGTTCCTAGGGACTGCAGGCTAATATGGGAAGCAGTTGCATTTACCGAGGTTTAGGCCACATGATAAGAGAATGGCAATTAGGTGGGAGGGTAGCAGGGGTTCACACAGGAGAAAGGGAGCTCAAACAGCCTTTATAATTTCTTTTTTTTTGAGGGGGGGGGAAGTTGGAAAGGCCTCTGGGGAAAATATCTACAACTTTTGTGATGTATGGACCTCAATTCCCAGAATTCCTCAGATTTTTGCTGCCAGAAGGCTTCCCTGAGGCCCAGGAAGGCAAAAAATGGAGTGCGGGGGCACCCACACAACACCCCACCCCCCCACGCACCCCTTTTTGCCTCCCTGGGCCTCAGGGAAGCCTTCTGGGCGAAGCAGTAAGATAGCGAGGGGGATCCCGGCACAGCCGATCATCGGAACAGCTGATCGTCAGGTGGAAAAAAAGAAAAGAAATACCAGTTTGGCCAAATGGTAGTATTTTTTTTTACTACCAGTTCGCCCAAACCGGGCCAAACCGGTAGAATTTCCACCACTGTTCCAGCCCCCTCATCCTTCTTGTTGTTCTTCTCCGCACCCTATTTCCATCTTTTTTTATATTGTGGTGTCCAGAACGGGATGCAATATTCCAAGGGTAGTCTTGATCAGGATGATTAGGAATCACCACAGACTTCTGGTGAAGAAAACCCAACTTCTTAAAGCAATAAGACGTCAGCAACCTCAAACAGCCATAAAACAAACAAGCCGGAGATTTAAAGACGAACCTCCACTGACCCTTTGTTTCAGCACATTGCATTGTGCAACTACAGACAGTCGGTGATAGTTTACTGTGCTGAGCCAACAAATTGTAAATAAAAAGCTATGGTTTTGGTCACCTTATTATAGGCGTCTGCGCTTGGAGAACCCAAGTGGCCCAATGCTTAGGGTTTTTTTTTGTTTTTTTGATAAAAGGCAATTTTTCTGCAAATGTTCTCTGCATCAGATCATTCTCTCTTACCCTTCTATCCCCAGCCGAGTCTCTGGAGTCCTTTTTGGTATCGCTAAAGCACACAAGGCATCAGCTAAATGAATTTGAAAAAGATGACTGCGCTAATTCATGCAAACGGGGTCGTTAGCAGTTAAGAGCCTTGGCGAGATGAACATTTAAAATAGGTCCCCACTTAGCTGGAAAATACAGCTGATAATGGTGCCCTGATCATTCTGTCCTAACCTTGGGGTTTATTCATAAAATTGAGGTGAGCTGGGTAGAAAACCCCTGGATGTTTTTAAATATATATATCTTCTTCTATATATATGAAAGTAAGATACCACTCATGCATCATCACAACATCTCCAGAACTATAAAGCCTACAAACTTGACATTTGGCACCTATGTTCCTCTTGGCTTCTAGGTGCTCGCTAAGAAAGGACATTTCCAAATGACCATCGGAGCATTAGTATTTCCTATATTATTATTAACACGCTCTGATGCTAAGGAGTTCTACTCCCCCTCCCCCACCTGAAAAGAAATCTGAAGTGAATCGTTGCTTGTCGCAAAAGGGGATTGCGTGACCCTGGGGGGGAGGGGGAATGCTGAAACTGTCGTAAGTAGAAGTCAGTATTTGCCAAGCGTCTGAATTTTGATCAAGTGACTGGGGGGAATGCTGCAATGGTCGTAAGTGTAAAAAATGGTCGTTAAGTCTCTTTTTCCAGTGACATCGTAACTATTGCGGTTTGCAGACCAGCCGAGGAATTGGACAGTGGGGAAGAATGGAGACCAGTCCAGGAGTCTGGAGAGGACTCAGATGAAGGTCCTGCGTCCGATGCAGAAATGGGGCCAGGACCATCTGGGAGTGGGGTGCTGCCTCTGGAGCCTCCAGAGTCTGGCAGCAGTAAGGCTGAGGACCCAGGGGAGCCTGTTCCCAGTGCACGTGTGCGCAGAACTGCTAGAAGGCAAAAACAGCTGAGACAAAAGGGGCAACTCAGGAGTAAGGCTGGGAGGTGACTGGCCCTCCCATAAGGGATAAAAGTCAGGCCAAGATGACGAAACTTTTGCACGAAGCAAATTCGTTTGTTCTGTTCAGATTAATCCTTGAAGCTCTGTGTGGATTTTGTACTTCGGTTGGTTTTTTAATAGTTCATTTGGCACTTGAGTTGTTGGCAGCAATTCAAAGGGGAGAAAGGTGGGTGCTTATCTCGAGGGACTGTTTGAGATTCATTACAGACTGGGAATGAACATAATTCCCAGCGTTGAAATAAAACAAAGAGTTGTTTTAACTAAGCGTGTGCTTAATTACGGTCTTGGGAAGCCTTCATCAGAACAGTAACTTTGAACAGTCCCTAAATGAACTGTTGTAAGTCGAGGACTTCCTGCCATCTTATACTAAGTGTTGGATGTGGTAATTATGCAGGAACGGAAGGAGGAGGAAGAGAAGAAGAAAAGAAGACCACAGCCGTTTGAAAGTGGGTTTTGTTTTGTTTTGTTTTAATACGTTGACAATTGTCCAGAAAGAAAGAAAGAACATACAACAGCTAAAACCTCCAAACACGATCATTATTTATTTTATTTATTTATTTATTAAGGCCACATTTAAAAAAAGAAAAAAAAACCCACGATGAAAGACCTTAAGGCTTCTTTAACATAAAAAAAGGAGCAACTCACTGGATGCCATGGCATGAATACTGAGTTGGAAATAAGGATTCCCATAGGGAAATCTGTCAACCAAGAGCCTAAAGTCTCAAAAACTTTTGAAAACAAAGCCAATACAGGCTTTTTTTTTGCTGTTCTTAATGGCAGCTGACGAATCAATGGAGCACGTATCCAGCATATTCCCAGCAAAAATCAAAGCTGCTAGTCTTGACAAGGGACAGAACCTCTTATTTATTTATTTTTTTTCGTGTTTTTTTTTTGTTTTTAAACCCATCAAAGGTGATATATATATTTATATCTATATATATATTTCCTTAATCACAAACGGAATCAAAGAACGAGCCATTATTATTATTATTATTATTTTTATAATATACAAAGGCAGCACAACCAATTGCGCCGGATATGAAAGAGCTCTGCTTATCAGAGACAGCTGTACAGTATCTTGCTGTTTATTTGGCAAGGTTTTACAAATCTAATACTTAAAGAGAAGGGTTTTTTTTCTTACTTTCCCCATCTTTTACTTTTATCAATTACCAAAATAGAGAAAAAGAGACAGAGAAAGACACCGAGAGTGAAAGAGAGAGAGAGAGAGAGAGAGAGAGAGAGAGAATTTGCATAGATTGTACATTCAACTCAAAAGAGATTTTTTTTTTTTTAAACCCCGATTTCCTCCTGCCTAGCTTTTCTGTTCCTCAAAAGAACGTAATTTTTAAAAAATTATCAGTGAGGTAGTACCTTTGGTAGCACCCGTGAGCAAAAGAAGGAGGCAGAAATGATTAAAAGCGAAAACAAAACTCCAGAACAGACTGAAACGAGAGTTTGGTCGGCATGGGGAATTGCCAGCATGGATTCCTTTCTAAGATTGGACGACCAGAGCGAAAATTACTATTCGCACCATTTGGAAGGGGGTCTATAGGGTAGTCCTCAACTCACGGAGGACCCACATTTCTGTGGTTAAGGGAGACATTAAGTGAGTTTCACCCTATTTTATGACCTTTCTCGTCACAGTTGAGTGAATCGCTGCAGCCGTCGTAAGTCGAGGACTACCTGGAGTGACTTATATTCCTAACAGTGACTTCTCCTGCCCCCCCCTCCATTCACAGCAACAACTTCGGTTGAGAACTTTAGCTACTCAAATTGCTTCCAATGGCTGGGTTTCGGTGTGTGTGTGTGTGTGTGTGTGTGTGTGTGCTTCTGAATCTCAGAAGCAAAGGATGAAAAACAATTATTTCCTATTTCATGTGTCCTGCTGTTATTGGATATTTTCCACTTGGCTGAATCTCCACGTTTTGGCTCCCCTTGGAAGCGGGATCAAAAAAGCTTCTGACTCATGATTAGATGGGTCAAGCTTGTGTTTGACCAAAGAAACCTTAAGGGGACATGTAGCATCTGTCAGTGGGTCTCCTGGTTTCTTGACAGGGCCTTCAACAAACCATCTAGGACAGGAACGTCCAAAGTTGGTACTCGTTAAGACCTGTCGGACTTCAACTCCCAGAATTCCTCAGACAGCCTGAAGTGGAAGTCCACAAGTCTTCAAATGGTCAAAGTTCCATTTGACCATTCCCAAACCATGGAAGACAGGAAAGGAGAAAGTCGGTGGAAGCAAATCTGGAGCTATTCGATGTGGATAGATGACCTCTCCCTTCTTCCCTGGTTATTGGCTATGTTCAAACTATAGGATAACACTTAAAAACAACAACAACACCTTGTGTAAGACGCAGAGGGGAAGCAGTTTTGACTACTTGGAGTGTCCTCTGGATATTTAGGTCTGTGACCTCCCAGCTTGACTGGAAGGCATATTTGGAAGGCACTGGCTGGAGTAGAGTAGAATAGACCCATATTATATAGTTGAGTTTCTTAAGATTTCAGGTTGGGGACGGCATGGAAGATCCACACAACCATTCTGGCTCATCATCTCATGAGGAACCTTGTGCAAGGCAGATTCTAGATGGTGGAGACATGAGGTGAACCTCTTTTTCCAACCGCCTACCCCACAACCTCTGCACCCTCCAGATAGGTGGGCCTCAACTCTCGTTCTGGTTTTACCACACCTGCTTATCTTCACTATCCAAGTCATGCTGCCTTCAACTCATTCTCCTGACCCGTCTGCCCATTTCCATATTCACAAATAGGTTGCCTTTATCCTGAACTGCATTTTGCTTCCTTCAACAAATTATACCTTGCAACAGACCAAAACGTTACGTATCAAACACGACGGCATGATGGCAATGTTGATCTGAAATGGATTGGTCCTTTAGAATAAGGAATATTGGGTCAGAAATAAAGGCCATCTCATTGTCCCCGTCTCCTCTTCAGCAGAGGCCTAGATGTTTCTCCGTTTGGGTCAGAGGAAAGCCATCTATGGAAGAAACGAGTTCATGTCTCCTAGGACATGTCTTGTGACAGTTGTGGATGGCTGGATGGACAGATGGAGATACCACATGAAGGCCACAGAAAAGTCTTCATGATGGAGATGCCCGTATGGAATGACACTGTTGGTGAGATGGCTTGTGATGGAGGAGTTGTCTTCTCACTTGGAGCAACTTGAACCTTGAGTAAAATATCTCCTCGCCTCTTCCCTAGGCAAGTCCTAAAACCTCTGAATGCACAGATAGTCCTTGACTTACAACCACAATGGAGGCCAACATTTCTGTGGCTACATGAAACAAAGCTGTTTAATGAGATCTGTCCCATTTTACGACCTCGCTTGCCCCAGTTGTTACATCAATCACTGCAGTTGTTAAGTTTAGTATCATGGTGGTCAGTATGAGGGCTTCTCCACTGACTTTACTTATCAGAAGGTCGTAAAAGGGAATCATGGGACACTGCAACAGTCATAGATACATGTCAGTTGCCAAGTTTCCAAATTTCGATTATGTGAAAAACAGCTGTAAGTCACATTTTCAGTACCATTGAAACTTTGAACGGCTACTAAACAAACAGCCGTAAGTCGGGGACTACCTGCTCGGAGATGATGTCATTCCTACATTAGGGAACCTTGGTTCTAGTTACTATTGTCAAAATTGGGGTGGGGTCAGCCTCCAAGATTCCTTCTTCGTCTTGGCTTCTTTCCAACTGCCATAGAAAACAGGTTGGGGGGGAGGAATAATTGGGCCTTGTGGGGGGAGGGGGAAGGGTGCTGGAGGATGCACTTGGGGAATTGTAAAAGTTGGGGTGCTTTCTTGATTTTGCTTACTGCGCGTATGTAGTCACTTATCTTTCCAGGCCGGGGGTCACCAACCTTTTGGACCTCAGGGACCACCCAACTCATAACTTTAAATCCTGCGGACCACTACAACTCATAATTTTGACCGATGGTAGCTTGCTGACGTTAGTGGGAAAGTCGGTCCCCTATTCCAGAGCTGCAGGAGTCACAAGACTGGCCCTTTGGTCATCCTGGAGCAGCTACTCCTCCACCCGGGTGCACCGGCCTGCCATGGAGGAGCTGCACCAACATCACCGAGCCACCCCAGTGGGTGGATTTCCCCTCCCTGCCAACTCACTTCCAGGCGTTGTGGGGCTCCGTCACTGGAAGTCTTACTTTCAAGTGTTCCAGCTCACCTGGCTCGACTCAAGGGAAGGTTTGCATTTGGGGGCCAGCAGGTGTGTGGACCACGTGGGTGGCACAGCCTTGTGTTCCTGCACAGCTGGATTAATTGCTTTGGGGGGAAGACATTTCTTTGTGGACCACCAACATTTTCTCGCGGACCACCAGTGGTCCCCGGCCTACTGGTTGGTGACCACTGTTCTAGGCCAAGGTCAGCCATCCTGGCGTACCAGATGTGTGAGATGCCACCTGACAAATAACATTATGCACTCCTCAGATTGGATGTCCAGTCTGAACGACTGGGGGTGGGCACATGGGAATAAATTTCTATATGTGGATTCCGCGCCTATTTGCCTCAGACCTTGTATTTCTTTGGACGCTACTCCTTCAGCCTCAGTAAAAGTCCTTTTCTCAAAATAAAAATAAATAAGAGCCTAAGGTTTTCTTTCTTGGATCTTGAATGGAGCCACACCTGACATTATACAAGACGTCGAACAAAAGCAAAACTGGAAGGAACGGAAAGGAGAGGAAAGGTAAAAAATAAAAGACTATTTTCTTTTGTTTTAAAGGCCTTGCCTTAATAAAGGCAGCGGTTATTCAGCGAGATAAGATCACTCCCTAGCGAGCTGCGTAACCATTCGTCACTGACTGAAACACAAATAAACACGTTAACGTGGTTGTCTCCTTTCTTTGGGGCCAGCTAAATATTGAATGCTCTGCCTTTACGCCTGCACAGCAGCTGACACGGCAATTTCAAAAGTCGAAAGCAAAAATCCCGCAGCTTTAAACCAAGGAGGACAGGAGAGGTGGGGTGGAATTCATGAGCCCGTCTTCCCCATGTCAAGTTTGACTCTGCAGTAACGCGTTTTAAAAGGGAAACCAGATTTTTTGGTGATGGTTGTTGTTCCTGTTTATCTTTTCAGCCCTTCTGCTCTTCTTGTGGTCTTTAAAGGTGAGTTGGGTTCGAAATGAAAGAAAGCCCCCCCCCCCACCCAAAAGGAGAAAGACAGCTTTTGTTAAAAACAATCAACTGGATCCCAGAGGATCCATCAGTGGATATATGAACTGAAGATCCAGAATAACAGAGTTAATCCAACTTCCTGCTCATGTAGTGTGTCTCAGAGCAGAAACCTTTGTCCCTCTGTTGTCGGAGTGCAATTTAAGGCTTAAAGTAATCCACTAGAGATCAGTCAGGATGAGGTCATTTAATTAGGAATAAAATTTGGCTTTTTGCACCCTTGACTTAAACCTTGCAGCTCCCGAAGCTAAAAAAAAAAAAAGGACTCGGAATCTGCAAAGAGTTAAAAATATATATATAAATAAATACAAAACTGGATTCAAACGGAGGCGCCTTGGTCTTGTTTCGGAGAAACAATTCTGGAAAAGTGCCCGCTCCATTTTTCTCCGTTAAATGGAATGCTGTGGAAGAGTAGAAGGCAGCTAATTCCTTTCCAGCTATCAGTTCCCTGCCTGAACTTTTTTTTTTTTAAAAAGCACTTTCTCCTTTCTTTAACAGGGCACCTACCACCGCACAATAGAGCAAAACTAAGCCTTGCTGTTTATGTGGGTATGAGTGTGTCGGTGTGTGTCAAAGGGATATTTCTCTCCAGCCTGCAACTCTGTGGAGCTTATGATGTGTTCTTTGGAGAAACAGCTTGCGCTGGCTTAGGCCGTCTCATCTAGTCTTGGTTTGTCTAGGTTCACACAACTGCTTCTTGAATCAACCCCTTTGTAGCGGTTGGCAAAAGATGCGACCGCAAGCTAACCAAACAGGTTGGATGCCCACCACCGGTAAGCCACGACTGGCCAAGTTGAAAGCCCACAAGCGTAGCGCGTTATGAATTGAATCACTCGATCTAACCTGGTTGAGGATGCTGAACACAGCTCTTTAAGCATTGATCCATCACTAAAATGATTACTAGAACCAGGAGGAATAGTTATTGGTTGCTTTCTAAGTCACCCCCTTTCCCATCAGAAGAAGGCAATGCTGAGATTCAGATGTCAAAAGTCTAGTGTCTAGTCTAACAGATACACTAGACACACAAACATCCTGATACAAAGGGATTTATTTATTTTTTTGGATTTCTGGAAAACTATTTTCCAGTCTGACCTGGGGATGTGAAAAACTCAACACAGGAGTTTTGGCTTTCTCCTTTGAGCCGACTCCCTCGCTAGCTGTATTTGGAAGAGCAGAGGCCTCCAAACTTGCCAACTCTAAGACTTGTGGACTTCAACTCCCACAATTCCCCAAGGAATTCTGGGAATTGAAGTCAAGTCTTAAAGTTGCCAAGCTTGGAAACCTTCCCCCCTCGCCCTTTAGTCTAGAGAAGTCTTGGGTGATCATTAGCTCATCTAGAGGACCAAACTCCGAATCTCTGTTGGCACGAAAGGGTGAAATTAACACTCTCTCTATTGTACCATCTGTGGATTCACAATATAATCACGTTCTAAGTTTGGCTATCTGGAGTAACAATGTGAATGCTTTTGTGAGATGTCAAAGGAGGGCGGTTTGAAAAACGTGGACCACTGGAAAAAAAAGAGAGGAATTTTAGCAATTGTGACTAAACTGCTTTGCTAAGACTTTCGGGAAACTGAAATATATGTATATATATATATATATGGCCGGGATACAGCATATTGGTGTGCGAGATTGAGAAATAAATTAGCTCTGATCAGAATTGAAAAGACGCTGCCCCCGCCTTTAAAAACGTCAGACTTCCTACAATTGGTTTCTCCTTTCCTGCTTGTTCCCTGATTTCCAAAACCCTCGAGATGACAAAAACTGGTCAGTAAAAGAGGCTGGCATTTTCAGCCCCCTCTTGAACATGGATTCGTAGGTTTTCTTTAAAGACTCTTCCGTTAGCTCACCTGCTACCTGCACCAACCCCATCCGAAGAGTATCACGAGAGCAAAATGCTCAGGTTGCCTTTTTTTAAAGCCAGCAAAAGGGGTACCAGGTGCTACCTCAAGCGTCCATCTGGTCTCACGGGGCCCAACTCAGATTTTGGGTCAGGACTGAGGGAGCTCCAGGACGTCTGGCTGCAGGCCTGCATGAGAGGACAGGAGGTCGGGCCCGTAGTGCAGATGTCGACGGCTGACCACACGCTTCCCACCAAACTGTCCACCCAGGTCTCCAGCTTGGTGCCCGTCAACATGGCGTTCTTCTTCAACTGCTCCAGTTGGCCAGTGCTGACTGGAATGTTTAGCACGGGGTTGAGCCCTTGGAAACTCTGCTCCATGTAGGCGTTCTTCGGAGGTCCACCATGCAGCTTTCTGGCTTCCTCTAAAGGCAAGAGAAAGAAGTATTTGGGTTAAAAAAAAAAGAAAAAGCTAATTTCCAGAATAACAATGCTACAAGGTCCCTTCCAACTATGATTATTTGTTATCTGTTATCCACTGGAATATATGAAGATGAAAAATGGTTCTTTCTGAACTTGGGAAAACAACAACAAAAGCCTTACCTTGTCGGATGGCTTGCTTGTTCAAAAACGTCAGAGGAGAGACCAGGAATTTGGTCTCTGCCACGGGCACCCAATGATGCAGGATTTTAATGGTCCAGACTCCGGGCCGGAGGGGTAAATTCAAAGGTGGCTTGTAATGGGTGAACTCGGCACTGGATTCGATCAGGATATCGTAGGTGGCAGCAATGACGTTGACGGGATCCACCCAGATCACTGTCACGGTGACGTTAGGACCTTTTGCCCACTTCTGCATGCTCACCGGCTCATCCGTCGGTGAAATAAGGCCTCCAAAATTGCGGAATATTCTCTCTTTCGCATCCCAGTCTGTGCCAACCTAAAAGAACAGGAAGCAATAGCGTCAGAAATAACTCTGTGATTTTTATCTTTACTGTTTAGGAAGTGGTTGCATATCATGCGTATCCTATGACAGTGGTGGCTAACTTTTTTGGGCTCCTGTGCCAAAAATTGTGTGCACTCATGTTCCAACACCCAGAAGGCAATGCTTGCGGCCTCCTACCCCCTGTGCATGCGTGTGTGATTCCCCTGCCGCTGCCCCCTTACTGCACTGCGCCTCCCAGTCGATTTTCGGCTGGTTTGAGGCCTTTTTTGGCCTGCCAGAGGCTTGAGGGAAGCCCCTCCAGGCTTTGCAGGCTGAAAAATGGGCCCGTTTTGTCATTTCTGGAAATACAGGAAGTGATGAAACAGGCCTATTTTTGGGCTGCAAATCCTGCAGAGGCCCAAAAATCAGCTGGCAGGCACACGCATGCACAGTGAGATAAGTTTGCCTGGGGCTCGCATGCCCGCGTGCCACCTGTGGCATGCATGCCATAGGTTTGCCATCACGGCCCTATGAGAAACTTCCGGCATTCATTGATACCTCCAGAATGGCTAAAAAAAAAAAAATCTGGCTAGGGAATTCTGGGAGTTGAAGTCCACCCATCTTCCAGGTGGTCCAGGTTGAGAAACATTGCACTAGTGTGTATTGGTGTCAAATCATACAATATTTCTATGGTCGTCTTTAGAGTTGCCAACAGAAAGGAAGGGGGGGAAAGGGGTTTGAAAGAGCAGTGCGGCAGCTTGGAAAGCAAAAGTGCATTCCATAAATAGTTTGTCAAAGATAGTAACTAGGTGACTGAAGTTTCTGCCATGCAAATATCTAACTGGAGAGCCTGATTGATGACTCTTGGCTATGGATGTGTCCCATTGGAGAATATGAATTATGATACACCCAGGGGGTTGGGAGGAAAACCAGGGTCAAGGGGGACAATGAATGATGTATCTCAGAGTCGGCTACACCCAGGCAGTGCTGGACATGTTAACTCCCAATAAATCCTTTTGAAGTTGTGTATATATGGCTCGAGACTCATGATTTAATTGGGGTAACTGCCAGAATCCTGACAGCTAGCTTATCAGTTGGGTTGATTTGAAAATAGTGTGATGTTGTTGTTGTTGTCATGGAAACTCTCATAAAAATAGGCACAGAAGAAACTTACCATATGGGATCCTTGGTGCTCTCTGAACTTAGTTAATTCTCTTTCAGACATTGCATGACCCAACTAGGTAATCATATCAAGTGTGATTGGATTTGTGCAGAGGAAGATAACGAGTGTGGGGTCCTTGGTGCTCTCTGAGCTTGGCTGTTTTCTTGCAGACATTTCATGACCCAACTAGGTAACCTCATCAACTGCTAGAAGGGAGACAGAGAACAAACCCTTATGCCTTCCTAGTATTGATGAAGTTACCCTGTTGGGTCAGGAAATGACTGCAACAACAATAACAACAACAAAAACCAAGCTCAGAGAGCACCAAGGAACCCTCATTTCAATAGTGAACTACATCTATTTTCTTTTATCGGAAACCTACCCTGTGCCAGATGCTTGTTGGGGAGGCAAATTATCCTGGGTTAATTAGATATCCAACCTCAACAACACTAGCGGTTCCACACCAAACAGTGCTGCTTGCTCATTCACCAATGTGTTGTTGCAAAAATTCAAGGCAATAGGCCTAGAAATGCCTGTTTTCCCCTGCAATAACAACTTTGTGAGATTGTTGGTTGTCCCAAAGTCACCCAGGTAGAGTCCATGGGGAACTATGGAACCTGGGGGCTCCCCATTCCTAGACCCATAACTTCACAGCAACATCATACTAGCTTAAATAACACATCAATAAATAATTTATTTATAATAGGTAGAGGACAAATTATATACAAAAAGAGCAAATTCTACCCAAATTCATTAAAAGCTGACCAGGGCTAACTATTGATCTGCTCTAATCAACATGCATTAGATGACTTCACCTCTCCTGAACGGAAAAGCAAATGATATTTAAATATCGAGCTTTCTAATACCAACTCAAGATTAATAATGCTGTTTCTTCTGGCCTTTGACAATTATTCCAGGAAGAAGCCAAACACATTTTTTTTGCGTGTGTGTGTGTGTAATGGCTTCAATATACAATTTCAACCCTTTAAAGCATAATTCCAGAGGGAAAAGGACAAATTTACTAATGCAAGAACTGAAGCTCAGGCTTTCAAGATTCAGGTAAGGGAAATGTTTCATTAATGATTACGGCTGTTACGCCTGGAGTTTTTAAAAAATCACCTTCAACTTTTGGACGAGTCTAATACATGCCATTCTCTTCCTGGCAATAGATGAGTAATTTCCACGATGATATTGCACCCTAACAATGCCATTTTAATTAATTACCATCAACCATTAGATTTTTCTTCTAATGGAGGGACTTGACTATGTCTCTACGTTTCAACTAGCACGTATTAAACCAGACAGAAGAAAAAGAATAGGATTTCTTTTTAGCTGAAGGAGGGAGGTGAAATAAGATTAATAGTAATCCCAAAATAATGTCTGAACAGAGGACAAGATGGCTGCAAAGGCCACATAATTAATGCCTACTATTGCATGATATGGACAACACTTTACATATTATGGGTACCAGTACCGCCATCATTCCTGTGGACATTCTTGAATTCTAATCCGTGTTAATTCTAGATCCTAGAATTAGATCCTTGGGATATACTGAATCCTAGTTGTATAGGCAGGGGAATTCTGGGAGTTGAAGTTTGCATATCTAACTAAGATTGAAAAACACTGTCCTAGATTATTCTAATATAGGATTTCCCAATCATGGCAATTTAAAGACCAGTGGGCTTCAACTTCCAGAAGTCCCCAGCCAGCTATGTGTCTTAAAGTCCACGTGTTTTAAAGTTGTCAAGGCTGGGCAGTTGTGTTTTAAAGTGTGTTTTAAAGTTGTCAAGGCTAATATCAATTTAATACGTAATATGAATTAATTTTAATTTGTTAATATTAATCTGAATCTACTATGAGCCCTTTGGGTCATCTGTAGGGAAAAATGTATACAGCAAGTGTAATCAAAGAAAGATGATTAAAGCCAAAACTTTGAATTTTTTCCAAACCTTAGGGATGTAATGTATGTATGTATGTATGTATTCACAAATCCACCAACTCTCACAATCCTGAAACTTCACTTAGCTATGTCTTCAAAGCAAAAGACGGCTTCCTTTTAGAGCTGGAAAACTTTTTCCTACCCAACTGTGAGCTTTCTAATTGCAGGGAGTTATTTCTGGCTACGGACGCTAATTTTATACCAAACGTTTGGGGAAGATGACAGTCCCTATAATCTGGGGAAGATTATTTTCCCGTTCCTTTTAAGAATACTCTCTGATTTCAGTGAAAGTGCAAAAAACGCATCAACTTTTTGCAAAAGACACAAAAGCGGCAGTGATGCTATTCTACCGGTTCAACCTGGTTTGGCTCAACGGGTAGCTCCAACGATCAGCTGATGGGCTCTCCCACTCGCCGTGGCTCTATAGTGATCTTTATTTCCTGCTTTTCAACCTCAGCTGCTTCGTGCGGCACAGCCGATTGCAGCAGGAGGTGAGTTGCAAACGCTGCGCGCGCGCAAAGCGCATGCTCACACCGAACCGGTAGGAATTTTTTTTTTTTTTGAAACCCACCACTGCAAAGTGGCACTTGCACACAGGGCAAAAAGCTTCCAGCGGTCACAACCTACCATCTGAACGGCCAACACAAATTGCCGTTTAGCAAACGTTCAAAGAACATCAGGTTAGAAGAACAAGGGTGTCAATCTTTACCTCGCTGTCCTCAAAACCACAAGGCATGGGATGACATGGGGCACCCCTGCCAAGGAGAAATGACTAGCAATTTAGATGGTTTCTTTTTTTGTATAAAAAAAAGATGAGATCCATTCAGAGGACCAGGAATTCAGTGGCTAGTAATCTTGATACTATTTTCTGCCTCCTAATCCACAAGGCAACCTATTTTAACTACCTGTTTGTTCTTGGGAATGTTTCAAATTCTTCTAGCTGGTCATTCTGGGACACAGTTTAGGCATTGGGCAGGATGATGATTTAATACAACCAAAAAAATGTTCTTATTCTACTCTGGTGGGTCTCTAATATCAGTTATTTTGTTTTAAAATTAATTACAGGGTTGAGAAGGATCTATCTCAATGCCAGGCAGCAGCTGCCTGACCTTGGAAAAACTAAGCAGAGACGGGATAGGTTAGTACTTAGCTGGGAGACATCCAAGGGCCATACCTTATGATTGAGAAATTGAGAATATATCTTGGAAGAAAACTGTAGCTAAGTATTTTCATAGTGACGCCAAGAAAACAGCAAGGGTGTATCCAGGAATTGGATCCTGGATACACCCTTGCATCCATCAAGACTTGAGAGTTTGCAAGGAAACCATGAAAGGGACCAAATCAAAACCAACAGGAATAACAGACTTGGAAAAGGCCTTGGAGGTCTCTTTCACACATAGCTACTTGTCAATGTGTACTGTGTACGTTTCCCCATTTTTGAATCAATAGCAATGCAAAGCAATTTGGTTTTGATTGATTTTGTGATTGTTCATTGCCCAGGGTCACTGGCTGGAGATAGGCACCCATATCAATTGAATAACAAACTAAGCAGCTAACTAAATAAAAGGAAGGAAGGAAGGAAGGAAGGAAGGAAGGAGGGAAGGAAGGAAGGAAGGAAGGAAGGAAGGAAGGATGGATGGATGCAGGGCTTCAGGTAGACCAACATTTCTGCTCAAGTTCTTCGTGTTATAGACATTATACCTACGCAACTGAGAAATTCCTTTATTTGGGAAGGTTCAGCTTTTGCTTTGAGATCGATAGCCCTGATTGCTTATGAGGCTTGTTCCTCTTCTACAAATTTTTATAATCTCCAATTGACGCACAAGGAAATATTGGGGTGGCTGCTTTTCATTTATGGAATACGAAGTGTCTACAGAGGTATTCAGTCTAATGATAGATAGATATAGATATAGAATGAGATGAGACAGACAGACAGAGTGATACACAGAGATATATAGATATAGAATGAGATTGATAGACTATTAGTGAAGATAGATTATATTGAAGATATAGAGATAGATGATATATAATATAGAGACATACATATAGGTAGATGATAGATGACAGATAAATATATGATACATAGACAGAGATAGATACATATGTACATAGAGATAGATGATAGATAAATAGACTGATAAATAGACAGATACATATATAGATAGGTAGATGATAGATAGATAAATAGACAGAGATAGATATAGATGGATAAATACCGTAGATAGGTAGGTAGATAGATAAATAGATACGGAAAGATATAGATACATACAAATATAGATAGATGATAGATAGAGATAGATAAGAGATAGACAGATAGATAGCATAGACAGACAGACAGACATTCTTCCTGAGCAATCTGGTGTTCTCTTCAGTCTCATCTGCAGATCCCTTGGCTCCCAATTCAGTTTTTGCAGCTTGATAAGCCCATCTTTTTCTCCCCCACTCTGAGGCTGACGCATCATTTGGCGAAGACAAACAATGTTTTGACTACTGGTTTGTCTCTTAATTGTTCATCATAAACAGGGACTGCTCAGTTCACACGGGGAACACTAATTGCCTGCTGCCTGGTTAATTTTCCCCTCCATGATGAATGGCAACTGTCAAACAAGGCCAGAAACCAGCTTTCTCCCGTCCCTTCTCCCGTTTTCCTGATTCGGTTTAGTGCAAACGATTCTTGGAAACTCTTGAGTTCAACAAAAGCCACCTTGTTTCCGCCTTCAAGAAGTGAGCAAGGAATCCATTGCCTTGCCCATGGCTTCGTTTAGGCAATGTGCTGCTGACGCAGGCTGAACAAAGACTTAGAAACATATCCAAACAACATGTTAACTCGTTGTGTAGACCAGTCACCTTGGTTAATTAAGGTTTCAATGCCTAGTATACTCTCAGAAAAATGGGCTAATTCAGTAAAGGGCAAAGTGTAAGCCATTTTGTTATAAGACATAGAAGAACCCAATCATAACAGGTTTATTCTTATTTATGAAATTTCTACACTACTAATCTCACCTAAATGACTCTGGGCGTTTGGCCATGCTGAAGGCTCCTGGTCAGCCAAGGAATGTTGGCTGGTGGGAACCAGCAGATGCACCTTCTCTGATATTGCATTTGCCCTCTGGAATGGCAATAGCATTTAGACTTCTATAGTTCACTACTTCATAGTGCTTTCCAGCCCTCTCTAAGTGGTTTACAGAGTCAGCCTCTTGCTCCCAACAGTTTGGGTCCTCATTTTACCCACCTCAGAAGGATGGAAGGCTGGGTCAACCTGAAGTCTGGTAGAATCAAACTGCCAAATTGCAGGCAGCCAGAAGTAGCCTGCAGCACTGCACTCTAACCTCTGCACCACCATGGCTCATAAGCCTCCTCTCAATGATCAAGATGATCCCCATTACTCTGTTGGTCTTTTGTAACACCAGGAAAACTTGGTTGTCTGCCCGGGCTTGGGGTGCCAAGTGGGTGAAGGGCCCTGTTTCTTGGCTGTATTAGATCCATGGTAATAGTTTTACTTAGTGACATATATATTTATTTTGTACGATTTTAATAGTTTTAATAGTTGTAATTGTTTTAAATTATTTTTGTGTTTTATAATGTACACTGCCAAGGATTACTTGTTTGGGCAGTTATAGAAATCAATCCAACCCAATGAAACCCAACCCAACCCAACCCGACTATCAATAAAACCATCCATTTCAAAACTCCGCTATGTCTCCCATCCACAACTAGGCACTTCAACAAGGGATTCGAACTATCTTCACTTTCAAGAATGCAGATGAACAATGTGTACCTCCAAGAAATGTAGCCTTCCAAAATCACTTGGAGGGCTTGCAATCTTGAACACCTTCTTAGGTATGACCCACGTTTCTAAGGTCTCCAGTTTACTGGCAGCCAAATTGGTTGTGTGATGTTTGATGAGGAAGCCCTGAAAATGATCAGCGAGAAAGTAGAGATGGACTGACACTGGATGCCCCATTGGGTAATATCTGAAAAAACAAAAACAAAGGATCAAAGAATAATGACATTCATTAAAAAATAATTGAGAAATAAAGTATCGGTTGCAGAAAGAACTTTTAGAAGCAAAATTCCTCGGTTAACTTTCTCTGGATTTAATGCAAGACAGAGAAGTGGAAGACACAGAAGATTGTTAGAGAGATGAAGGAGCAATAGAAGACCAAGAACAAGCAAAGCCAAGAATATCACAGATGATCATTAAATTTCAGGGAATCTCTCTTCTCTTCCTTTCAGAAGTCATTCTCTTTCATCTATCTGCCCAAGAATTGGGAGGAGAAACAAGCCCTCCAGATGATGTTTTCTCCCAAGCTCTACCAAAAAATATTCCCAACAAGTAGTTACGGAAATTGGTATGTCGCATACTCCTACAGATGGGGGCCACAGACTTCAAAGGAGAGAAAAGTCAATGCCGCAAAAAACTCTGTACTGACACGAAATGTTGAAGAAGAAAATAAGGAGGACAGCTCAATTTCTATCTCTAGCACGTTGGACTATCTTCTACAGCAGGGGTCACCAACCTTTTGGACCTCGGGGACCACCAAACACATAATTTTAAACCCCGCAGACCAGAGACCCTGGGAAAATCCCCCAAAAGGTTTGCAGGAAAATTCCCCACCCCGTTTTCCTACCGATCGATCATTTTTTATTTGGGATGGCAGGATACTGTTTCCAGTTCCATTCTTGGAGTGGGGGAGAGACTTTTGGCTTCATGCAAGGAAAGCAGCAGAAGCAGCAGAAGTCTTTCTTTCTCTTCCCCAAATTCTGCCAGAAATGAGTCTTTGCCGGTGCAGCCTCTTGGAGCAGGAGGCCTTGTAGGGTCCCAAAGACTCATTTCTGATGGAATTTGGGGGAGAGAAAGAAAGACTTTTGCTGCTTTCCTTGCATGCAGCCAAAAGCAGAAGAAAGAAGCGGAAAGAAGCAGCCCAGTGGCCAGGCTAGGCATGTGGGGTGAGTGGGGCAAATTCCCCCCCTCCGCCCTTTCCCCCCTCCCCTCACTACCTCGTGTTGTTCACAATGCAAGCAACACAAGCCTTGTGTTCCCATGGGCCATGTGGGCGGCGCAGCCTTGTGTTCCCGCACAGCCTGGATTAATTGCTTTGGAGGTGACATTTCTCTGCGGACCACCAACATTTTCTCTCAGACCACCAGTGGTCCCTGGCCCACTGGTTGGCGACCACTGTTCTAGAACAGGTCTGGCCTTCAAAAGTTGGTGAGGGTCATACTTATGATGACACCAATGGGCAATATTTGAAGGAAGGATGTTAGGTCTTGTAGTTCCCCAATATCTAGAGATCCCAGCTTCTCAACACTGTCTAAAAAGGGCTGCAACCCTTGGTTGATGCAGTGATTTGGAACTGCAGGGTGAAAGGAAGACTTGTTTGATCTTACCGGCAACTGTTGTCACCATCCTTATGGAAGGACGTTTCTGCTTTCTTCAGGCCCAAACGGGAAAACGAGTGGTAGAGAGTCAGTGCAACATCACTAATGCTGTGGATGCCATCTGGTTCATCGTATACATTCTCCCAGTAGGACCGAAGGCCCGGGGTACCAGAAGGATAGTTACCATAGAGATAATAATCCAACTGGGAGATGACTTCCTGATTGACAACCGCCTCAAACTTGCGTGCAAAGAAGGTTGGTCTTGCTGTTTGCTGTGGGAGAAGAACCGTTGCAGAAGGAAAAATTAGATCTGAGTTCTTGAATTCAAGGCTTTGGTTTCTGAATACAAATCCTTCACTGTTGGCCAAGCTTGCCTGGGAGCTCAGCTGATGGAGACTAAAATCCCAAACATCTGGAGAACCTCAAGTTGCTTAACCCTGAGCTGTTTCTTCCATGCTAGTAGATCAAGAAAGTTCTGGAAAAGACTTCAGTGTTGGTCTCTTATATGGGAAGCTCCTCTTTTCCCAAAGAAATCGACTCTCCCCAACATTAGATTTCAAGAAGGGAGGGAGGGAAGGAAGGAAAGGAGGAAGGAAGGAATAGGTGGAAGGAAGGAAGAAAGGAAGGAAGGAAGGAAGAGGGGAAGAAAGGAAGGAAAAGAAAGAGAAAGGAAGGAAAGAAGGAAGGAAGAGGG